CAAACAAATAATATAACGGGCGTGGAGGTACCGGCGCGAGATGGACGAGAATCGGCGACGGTGACGCACCAGCGGCTTCGCTGTGTCTGCGGGAGAGCTCGGAATTAATGAAAGGCCACAAAAAAAACGACAGCACACCGAAAATTCAGCACTTTCCCGGCAGTGAAGTTATTTATCAAGGTAATAAGCAGTGTGAGGCAGTGAGCCCAGTGCGGAGCAGAGCTACAAGCAGCCTGCATGGGGCGCCGCCTCTCACCTCACAGATGCTGCGGCGCTTACTCACACTGTGCTGACTGCAGCGACACTGGGGAGGGATCGAACCAGCTGCTTTTAACAAGCTCTCTTGTTGGTTATTCATACCAGTTTGCCAGTTTTAATTTTATTTTACATTTAGTAACACACATATTTTGAGAAAGCAGGATCAGCCAGTCCCTGGAAGAACAAGGGTTAAGGCCCTTGCTCCAGGGGCCAGTGATGACATCACTCGGCTGAGTCTGGGATTTGAACTGGCAACCTTCCGATCACAGGGACAGCATCCTAATCCAATGAGCCGCACACACACGGATCCCCATATGCTGAATCAGTGCACAGCAAAGCGTGTGACACTGCTCGTACTGTGCGATACTTAAGTACGCTGCTTAAACATGACAATAATTTCTGCACTTAATGTGTCATCGTTCCGTATCAAGGCAACTGTCCTATTAGCACAGAAGCGGTTCTGCACAGACAGGGGTCCACCTCATCACAGGCCAAACACATCGCGCCCTGTCCTCTGGAAAACACCCTGTGATTCACAGGCCGTTAGCCAGGGCTAAATTTAGCCAGGGCCGGGTTAGCAGGGAGACCCCGCGCTAACAGCTAACTGTTTGTGAGCGAGTACATTAAGGTCGTTTGCAGGCAGTCAGCAAAAGCCATTTAATTACCCAGTGTTGAGGGTTTGAAAAGGCATAAAATGAATCCCTGGGGATATCACATTGGTAACATATATGCCCACGTTGTAAACACGCGCTAAAAAGCTGGCAAATACCTCCACGCTCGTCCTGTGATTATGCTGCAGTCACCGCGAGCTGGATCGGCGTGTGTCTTTGAAGCCAAGCCTGTGCAGAGCATTCTGGGTCGTTAGCGTTTTTAGCGGGTAAAGCAGTTTACAGTGGGATTGGCATGTCGTCGTTCACCACGAGGGCTTCACAGCCCTTCCGGAAGCTACAGGAAATATCAGCTCAGTCTGGAAATGAAAGTGGTGTCAGTTGGACGGCGAGATCCTGCAAAGGTGACCCTGTTATTTAAACTAAACCTGTGCCTGCTGGACAGTGTAGAGGTGACCTGTATTCATTCCTTGGATGGATGTATACAGAGTCAGGTGATTTTTACCCAGAATCCCTTACTCGTTGTTTACAGAATAAGGTGATTTTTACCCAGAATCCCTTAGTGGCCATTTACAGAATAAGATGATTTTTACCCAGAATCCCTTAGTGGCAATTTACAGAATGAGATGATTTTTTACGTGGAATCCCTTAATGGATATTTACAGAGTCGGATGATTTTTACCCAGAATCCCTTACTGGTTGTTCACAGAATAAGGTGATTTTTACCCAGAATCCCTTACTGGTTGTTCACAGAATAAGGTGATTTTTACCCAGAATCCCTTACTGGCTGTTTACTGAATATATACCAAAATCAAAATCACACTCTCCCTGAGAACTGAATTCAAATCAAACTTCTTATCTCCCATGCCTCTGTGAAGGAGCAGAGGTGCTCCTGTGATATGGACCTCGACCCCACTCCCCCCACCCCCCTGGGATGATGCCATTCCCGTCATCGTCAGGACGAGTGGATAACACGGCCCTCCTTTCATTCTACACCCAGTGACCACAGATCTATAAGTCTGAGGGAATTCGCAGGATCCTCTCGGGAATTTTGATGGTGGAAAAGCTTGCACTGGGAGCTACTGTGAGGGAGATCACCAGCCCACGCCTGCCAGTTCCCCAGCATGCCTCCCCCACGCACTGCCTCTGCTCTGCAGCTTCTCTCCGCTGCACGTGGTCAGCGAGTTCACACCAGGCTCTCTCTCTTGGACATGTGAGCTACACTCTCGAGATCGCCTGAAAAAAATTAAGTGTTTTTAAAGAAGGCAGGGGTTGCATTGAAAGACTGGGGGTCTTCTCCAGCATATGGACAAGGCCTCCCCCTATGTATTTCTAAACAAGCATCTTAACTGCCCACAGCTAAATGAAACACCCCCGGTGTGTGTTCAGTGTCAGTCTGCGCAGCTCCCCATGGATATAAATCATGCAGGCCTCCCCCTCCGACTGCACCTCCTCTCCTGGGACTCTGCTCATGCAGCGAGTCGAACCCTAACGCAGGTCAAGGGTCCATGGCAACAACTCGCTTGCAGGATCAAAAGGCAGTTATAAAACCTTCAAATGGAGGAAGGGAAAGTGAGTGAGAGAGAGAGAGAGAGAGAGCGAGCGTGGCCTTGCCCTCTCACCACCACACGGTCACGCCTGGGCCTCTGCAGTGGCTATGCAGAGCCAGTGTCACATGCAGAGGCGCATCTGCACCAGCTGTGAGAAACAGCACACACTGGCGAGGGAAGCACCCCCCACCCCTGGCTAACCCAGCAAATCCTGTGGCGTGCGTGTCCATGTCCGTGCGTGTGTGTGTGTCCGTGTGTATGTGTGTCTCTGTGTGTGTGCGTGTATCCGTGTGTATGTGTGTCTTTGTGTGTCCGTGTGTCTCTATGTCTCCGTGTGTGTGTGTGCGTGTGTGGGCATTTGTGTGTACATTTGTGTATACGTGTTTTAAACCTTAAACACTGCATCTCGACACACCTGAAAAGCGAAACGGAGTGTTTAGCACAAAATGCAGCCTTCTATCTACATCACATATTTGTGTCTCTCGATGGGGCCCAAACACGGGGGTCTGCTCCCCCCCCCGACACCGCCCTGGTGTTGGAAGGTGGACGTCCCGACACTGCAGAGGCGCATTGTGTTTCCCCTGGCGGCGCGGGCAGGCTGCTGCTCTCGCTCCTCATTGACCAGGGACCCCAGACTCCAGAAAGCCTTCGATCCCAAAGGGAAAGAAAGGTCTTATTCCCGGTATCCCAGCCCCTCCGCCCCGATCTGATAGCCCGGTCCTGATCCGATAGCCCGCTCTGCACCCCCGCGTACCTTGTCCCAGCCTGTCAGTCACATCCAGCTGGCAGATTGGGTGTCCGTCCCCTTAGAAAGAGAAGTCACGATACTGAAAGCTGACCCAAACGCGCCGCGCTCAAGGACAGCCAGGTGCCGCGGGCCGTCTCACGCTTTCCTCGGTACCTCTCTAGCGACGTGCCTCGACTGTTTGATGCCACTGTGAGCTGCTGTCGGAAGACGGGACCCGCATAAAATCACCGTGCCGACCAAATACCAACATCAAAGATGCAATGGTTCAGCACAGAGGTTCCCTGAAATGGAAATGCTGGGAAGACGAGAAAAACGAGCTTCCTGTTATTCCCACACGTCGTACGGCACACCAGCTCCTTCCCTTACTGAAGCGTTCACATTCAGGAACCCACTCAATGGTAAACCTGTCATTTTGTCAGTTTATCCTCCGCACTCATTATAAATCATCAATTTCCTTTTTATTAAAGGGCGAGATGGTGCACGATGAAACAACGAACCTCTCCTGCTTTGAATTAATAATAAAAACAACGAATAAAGGCAGCGTTGCCCTAAAAAGGCCTAAAATTAGGCACAGAGTTATTTCCATCCTGCATAATTGCTGATGTGGAGCAGCTGCGGAACTCACAACTGGAACGGGGCATCGGCGAGGGACGGGCCAGCGCCTGAGAGAGGCGTCACAGCGCCGCCCTGCTGGTGGATCCGCGCACACATGGCCAGACCACGCCCATCGCCGCTACATCAGGCAGCTGCAAAGTCATACACCTGTCAGCTGGAGAGCCTCCATCACATGGTGCTGCGTGAGGGACCGGCCATCCCAGAGGGGGCAGCGGGAAAAGAGGGGGAAAAAAAAACTACAGGCATCGAGGAAGAAAACCGAGGAGAATTCCCAAAATTAGCTCAGTGAGGGACAGTGCGGAAATGCTGGCGGGGGGGTGGGCTGTCCGCCCTATATTTAGCTGCACGTCTCTTAGCGCCCCTAAACAGACGAGCTACCGCACCCAGATACCCGGCAGGGGAGGAGAGGGGAGGGCCAGCTAGCTGGGTACAGGCAAGGAGCAGGGCCGCTGCGGTGCTTATGGAGCGAAAGCGGGGCCCGCAGGGACCGAGTGGGGACCCGCATCTCTGCTTACTCGCGCAGCTTCTCAAAGCGACAGCAATAGGTTATGGTGAGAAAGCAAAGCTGTAGAGGCGGCTCTGGCACTGTCAGCCCCTGTAAGAGGTCACATGGGATCCCGACGGGCTCGCTGTTCCAAAGCCAGCAAAAAGAAATGGCAGCAAAATACTCTCCATAGTATTACAATGTAATTTACCCGAAGTATCTCTGCAAGTACTCTCCGTAGTATTACAATGTAATTTACCCGAAGTATCTCTGCAAGTACTCTCCGTAGTATTACAATGTAATTTACCCGAAGTATCTCTGCCGCAGGGCTCCGACATTTCAGTGAAAAGGCACAACACTTACAGTGAATAAGAGACACACACAAACATTTCAGTTCAGGGCAGCCTATCTGCCCTAACACAGTGTCACACACCAATAGAATAATTCATTTAAGTTAATACCAAGCAGGTACACTTAGTCAAGCGGGTGAGCATAATATGTCTGTGTGTAAATTTTTGTTTTTTTATTTTATTTTAAAATACCCAGGATGTATTATTATTATTATTATTATTAATAATACTAATAATAATACATCCTGCATAAACTATGTTTCACAAAACCTGGACGTTGTGTGTTTGCTCTAATCACTTTTAACAGGAAAAAATTTGAACAAGTGCACTGATAGAAAAGCCATTGATCCCATCGTGTGTTTTTACAGGAGACCGTTGGGGTTTTACCTGAGGGTCCAGGCCAAGGGCACTGGCTGTTATTCTCTGTCACAGATGCAGAAACTTTCTTGAGGACCTGACGTGGTGGATGATAAGAGGCAGAGTGAAACTTACAGAGAGGAAGAGGCAGAGAGACAGAGACACGCCGCTACCTCTGTAATCCATGCCAACGTTAGCTCGATGACAACGGGCGACGCTAACAGGCTAGCTTGCAATAGTCAAGATCCGATGAGGATACAAAATAAAGTGGGTGACACTCAGTATGGGCACATGCATGGACATTGATCACATGACACAATCTCAAACACTGACGACACATAACATTTGTGTTTCTTTGAAATCACAGTCATAAATTATGTAAACCCAGGCCAGTTTGCAGAACAAAAATGCTATGTTAGTCAAACATTTTCTGCATAATAAACGAAAAGTCCAGAAGCTCTTTTTACATGAATTCTGTATATATAAACATATATGTTATACTATAAATACTCTGTGAAGGACCGGCACCCCATCCAGCCGTGAAGCCCAGCATTACACTTCATGTTGTCTGGGATAGGCTCCGCCCCCTCCATTACCCTGAGCAGGTAGGCAGTTAGATCCACACCAGCGAGTAACACATTGACATGTTAACATGCTTATTTAAGGGCCAGAGCAAAGTGTAGCACTGCAAGCTTTGGGGTGTGCAGGAGATACTGGAGCTGCGGGGGAATGCTGAAGCTGGAGATGCTGAAGCTGGAGATGCTGAAGCTCACGCCAGCAGATTTTATTTAATCTCGCTCACTCCGGGTTGTTTAGTGAAATCTTTCTTTAATTTATCCCTCCTCAGAAGTCAACGTGGTGTAAGAGGTACTCTTGCTCTAGAAGGTTCTGCCGTGTGAGGTTCAGCCGGCGTGAGCTGCAGTTTCCGTCACGTACTGTAGTGTCCCACACGGTGCCAACTGCACCCCAAGCTCCAGGTCATACTGGTCAGCAGCAGAAATTCGCAGATTATTACTTCCAGCCTCAGTGGTACCAGCCCTCAGTCACACACTATTATTATTACTAATAATAATCATAATAATTATATCTATAGAAACTGAAGCGAGCACATCTACAGTAATCCTTGACGGTGACCCAGAGTGTGTCAGCGGCACAGTGCATATTAAATGTGCAGCTATCCATTTTACTGCAGTAAAAGTTCTTACTATGGTACGTTCTCACGCGGCAAGAAACCACGGCTCTCTGCGTTTGCGCCTCTTCCACGGTGTAAGTCTGGCTTTAAGTACAGCCTCACAACCTAACGGGCCCAAATGCAGCCGGGCTGCTCAACTACAAACCTCCATCTGCATTTTAATATAGAATTCAGGAGGTGAGTTTTCATTTCCATTTTTAAAATGCGACTAAAAAGAGAAAAAAAACACTAGCCTGTATTTTAAGTATATTTCTAAATTTTTATATACTTGCCTATGGACCATAGAGTCACTCAGACATTAGGGTTTTTGCAATAAATGTGATCCTCCCGGTAAGTGTGTGAAATTTATATTATTATTGTTGTTGTTCTTGTTGTTATCATCCATCCATTTTCCATATCCCAATTCTCCAATACAGGGTTGTGGGGATCCAGAGCCTATCCAGCAAATTACAGGTGCAAGGCAGTGAAGAAGCTAGAATGGGGTGCCAACCCATCACAGGGCACACTCACACACCATTCACACGTGCGCACACCTATGGGCCATGTGGCAACTCCAATTAGCCTCAGCACGTTTTTGGACTGTGGGGGGAAACTGGAGTACCCGGGGGAAAAGCCATGATGACACGGGGAGATCTTTGTCTTCCCCCGTATGAGCAGTTGACAAAAGCCGTCTTCCTGTTCCATGACTCTATCAGGTCCTTTCAGCCATTTGCTGCTGAAGTGACTCCCCAGGTAAAGGGGAGTGCAGTGTGGCTTCTCAGGCAAATGGAAGATCCTGCGGGTCACCTTGCCCCGGCCGAAGGAGGAGGAAGAGGAGGAGGAAAAGAAGGAGGAGCAGGCGCTGAGGTTGGATGAGGATAAATCACCAGGTGGCTTTAAGGTACAGGTGTAGCAGAGCGGGGGGGGCTCAGCCCAGACCACCACACCACCATTCAGCAACCGTATCATAGCCACAGAAACACAGGAAGCAGCTTAAAACTACAAGCGAGTGTAATAAATCACAACTCAAAACATATCAAACTGTTCATATATACGGTAAATGTAGAGTAAGTATATACTGCACATAACATATAGTACAGTTTGTAGTACAGTACTAAGGTCATCTTGTAGGATACGAAGGCAAGGCTCTGAATTTGTAAAGTATTATCTGTTAGCCTCTCTGGAATATCAAACACGGTGCTGCACTGTATTTTACATAATGCTTTGGCACATTCTGATATCGGATTCTTAAGGCTCCCTAAAGCATTAGAAACAGGAGGTATACAGTATTAAGACTGATGTCCACCCTAACAAGGTCCTGCTGTCGCTCAGGTCTTTAAATGCTGTGCTATCCCAGTCCATCAAATAGTGTCTGGCTTTGTTCTTCTATTTTTTATTTTCAAAATTTGAATATACAATGTGCATTTAGTATACAATGCATTTAGCACACAATGTGGATTTCTTAAAACTGAGGAGGCAGAATCTGCACTTTTTGTACCACATAAAACTGTGCTGTGATCAGCATTCTGCTCCGTTGTTCCGCTAGCGAATGCCGACAGTGGACGGACCGATGCTCACAGACTTTACAGACAGTATAAATCTTATTTTTTCCCCATTCTCACAATTTCGAGCAATAGTAAGATACAAATCAATGATTTATTCAAATGCGTTCAGCTTCTGAAGGAAAACATATGTCAACTTTATCCTGTACTGCTGATACCAAATTTCAAGGCCATTACCGTGACAGAGGACTGGCTGCACTCACAGCAATTATGACTTTAATTACATTAATTACATATACTTAGAACTGTAATTAATGAACCAACACAATTGAGAAGAGGAAAAACTCACAGCAGTGACAAGTTTTCAGCAGGAAGTGATATGTTCACATATGTTCTTCTGAAAGTGTCTGAATGACTGGAGCGTAGTTGGTACCTTTAGATCCTTATTTGATAACATCGTAATATGAATAATTCAGAATAATTCAGAGCAGCATCTCCTGACTGACTAATAATGAAATTCTGTCAGTGTGGAGAGAGAAAATGAAAGAGAGGAGAGATATCCACTCCTGGTCGTCCAGAACATTTGGTGAAATCTTAGAGATGCTCTGTAGCGTGTTCGGGTGGGGGGGCTATTAATGGTCACTTTCTGAAGAGCCAGCAGTTTACCCTAATGGGGTTTATTTAAGCTGACAGGGGCTTCCCCAATTCCCGCTTATTTTCAGCTTTTTAAGCATTGCTTGAACTCATCTGGAGGCGTTTAGCGCAGGCTGGAGTGTGACTTCACTCGTGCTAAGAGACGGGCGACAGCGGGAAGCAGCAAGCCCAGCGACTGTCTGACTGCCGCAGGACGGACGCCGATCTGGGGTAGAGGCGAAGCGAGGCAGGGGAGACTAGGCAGGGGAGACGCATCCTCACACTGTCCAGATAGCGGTTTATTGCTGGCCAACTGAGGCCAATAGCGAAAAAATCTATTTGTAAGATTTTCTATTATACTAAAGGATTCCTAAGCTCACACATTTTAGTTATACAGCTGGACAGTACAAATCGATATAAACACACCATACACGGCCAAACACAGGCCTTAAGGGACGTGCGACAATCAGTGTGTCCGTTGTCATTCGGAACATCTGAAGGAATCCCACTTTAATCGTTATCTTACAGGGCCCTGTATGATTACTGCTGTCCAAATCAACCTGACCGTTTGTTAGTATGTTTCTATGGGAGTACTGCTTTGTGTCTGGAAATTAAGTTATTGTCAGACTCTCACAACACCTATTGAAGCTGAATCCAAAGGCATTTATAGTGACTGGGTCGCGTAAGTAAAAATGCCTCATTCCCTGGCTCTGAACAGAAGTTCATTAGTTCATTATTAGTAAGTTAATTTCAGTAATTGTACTATGACTCGGCTCAGTCAGACTTTTCTAAGGGATAAACATGTGGGGGTTAAAATAATGTACATGCTAAAAGGAAAGGCATCTCCGTATTGAGATTCGCTCATGCCATCAAAAAAACATTTCTGCGAATTATCTGAAATTTGGCATCATTATTTTGGCGATTTATATAACAATATTTGTCAATACATACAAAGGAGAGCAAGTATGAATGTATACACACTAAGCCAATGTTAATACGTTGTGCATTTGAAAACAGGTTAAAATATAAATAGCGAACAAATACACTAAATAGTTACTTTTAAAAATAAATCAGGGATGACATTGGCTTGAACCATTCGTTTCTTTTACGTACGTTTGCAATTCTCATCTACTCCCACCGGCACTTAAATCCATTTTTGCGGGGATTCCGCAGGAAAAAAAAGTAGTAAACTTAATTTTAGGTTCAGATTAATTCGGCCCCTATTTATACGTTTATTTGTAAGTTTACATGATGATAAATAAGTAAACAGCAACTTAATCACAGCAGTTTTCCAGCCTTATTAAGACCGCGATGACTTGTACAGCATAAGTTTATTTTGGGGGGGGAACTGTAATCAAGACCAGCATGCATGGAATTCATATGAATGATAAGAGATACGGACTAAAACATAGACAGTTCAGTACTACAATATTAGAAATCACACGTTTAAACGTACTTACGTCGTTAATTTCAAATTGCAGTTGCGAGAAATAAACTCCCACTGGTTTGCAGTCACGCTTTTCGTTTTGAGTCAAGTTTTAGTCGTCGCAGTTACTTTTAAGTGATATTTCCTGCAGTCCTGCTCTATCTTTCAGTAGATTCGATAACAGATGCCGATCTGTGCAGCCAAAGCCGTTTACAAACAACGGAGGTCATTTCAGCATCCCTAATTTTCCAGTGTATATTATAACAATGCTTAAATGGCCCTACTTATATCTATAACTTAAATTTTTTTTTTATTATATATATATATATATGGATATGTTAGGCTACTTCTGCAAAAATATAAACGTCCAGAGCAGGTTTCTGTAAATTCGGGACAATTTTAATGTAACAGTATTGCGGAGCGCTCCGCATTTCCCGCAAGGTACAAAACCGGTGTCTAACAGCCTAATATAGGCCTACACATATTAATATAAGGCGGATATTTTCTGCAACATAAACTCTATATTGGCTAATTTACTTTTCAGTTATTTCCAATTACTTTAAAAAGGAAATACTTCCATTTAAAGCAAAGATTTATTTACAGCTGTAACTAAAAGGAAAATGCATTACAGAATTGCAGGAACGTCAGCTGCCATTACTTGATTATCCTTGCTGATAGCATTGTTAATCTGTCAGCTGCGTGCACTTAAGCACGTTCTCTACACCTTCTCTTAAAATAAGAACATAAACAATAAATGAAACTGACGACTAGATAAAGCCCAATTTTCAACGCATCATTTATTGCATATGGTTTAATTGTATGAAATGGGAGAACTGACATATGAACATTACATACGGTTAGTAAGTAAAATATTTTTGCACAGCAAAATAGATATAAAAAGAACGTTAACAATTTTCTTTAATTTTATTTTATTGATAAATGATATTTTCCCAAGCAGAGTATCAATCCCTGCATTTTATAAATGTCCAGACATTAGTTCCTATATTAACATAATTGCGTTACTGCCTCGCATCCCGCCACCCAAACAGTCCTGAAATCACATAAAAAAGCAAACTTTTCCAGCAATTACATGCATATTTCATTTCAAAGAATTTCTGTATATTAATGTTTTAAGACGTTTCCATTCTGTAATATATGACTGCAGAATGCTCTAGTGCATTTTAGTCCGATTATTAACATTATTAAACTAACTCTGGGTGTCACCGTTGGCTTAAAATGTAACCGGTTCCTTCCGTACACTTTGGTTTAAATGAAGTCAATGGTATAGCAAACTTGATTTGTTATGTTTTGTACTGCATGGGAAAGCTACAAAATAGTTTGGGGTATTTACAAGAAGTTGTGTAAGAAAATAATGGTCACTTTCCTTCATAAGCAATTAATTGAAACAACAATAACAACAAAAAAAATAAATTATAATAATAATTAAAAACAAACAATAAAGAAAGAAACAAATTAGTGCACATGCGCCTAATTTTCCAAACATCATTTGAATATCCACCTGTAGCACAATAATGACCGTTTAGGTATATAGATGGAATATCCGTAAAATTATAATTATATAACTCCGTTCAGCTGACAGGAATATGGTTTTGTTAAATAAACAAACCACGGAAACAGTTTACATCCCAGAGTAGGAGTGGCGCGTTTTAGAAACGTTTCAGGTCTATTTCTCTCCTGCATATCCGGAACCAGAATGGCATCTTTAAACGAGATTCATCGGGGATTACGGGGGTCCAACATTGCAAAAATCGTTATCAGGCAAATAATGATGCCATGATAGGGCGCGTTGTCGCTGCTGGTGATAAAGAATCCTACAACGTGATCAGGCAATAAAATAAAGTTTTGGAAGCCATGCCAGTTATCAGATGAAATTCACATTCAAGCACAAAAAAAGAAAATGAAAAGCCCGCATGTCCAGCACACAGGACCATACAATGATATTTAGAATCTGAAAACAGTGCTACATCATGTCATTATGACGCTACTGCCATTTACCTGACAAACACAAAACGTCAGTAATGCGTGGGATGAGCATGGGGTGAAATGGTAGGCTCAGAACAGTCCGTAGAAATTAAAATAAAGTAATAATAATAATAATAAAATCAGAGCATTTACTACTTAAGGTAGTTTCGACAGCCGTCACTTTACATCGCTATTGATATTTAGGCGAACCAGATTACTAAAATAAAAAGTTTTGATTAGACGCACGCACACAAAACACGCGCGCGTCACTATGTATACGTTCACTATATATAGTCAAAGTATTAAAATAAAGTATTTAAAATGAAGTATGGCCTATTTACATTTTCTAAAACTAAACCAACTTTAAAAATACAAAAATAATTAAAAATAAAACAAAAATCTGATATACCTTCATGAACTGCGTATAATACTGAGTACTTAGTGACTAAATACAATAAATATAATACAGCGACTAAGACTAGCACTTACAGTGGAAGTTGGATTACAAAATTCATGGCAGGTTTCAACGAGCAATCTCCAAAATGAAGAACACTGTTTTCGATGACAAATTGGATCTTTCTATTGCAAGCCACCAAAATGTGATATATAAATTGAGTAAACCCTGATTCTCATAGTGAAATAATTATATTAATAATAGAAAAAGAAAGGCTGAAAAAAAAAACAATAACGTAGAACTGGTTTCTTGGTCTATCGAGCCCCAAACAAAAGTTATTCGCGTGGACAACTTTTAGTAAAGGAGCTGTCGCGTTTGATTTGTTTCTGCTTAAGCTGAGACTCACATGAAAAACTCTGGAGACGAAGGGTTGTTGTCACTGCTGGAGCCGTTTTCTCTGAAGCCATTGCTGACAAGCTTCTCGTACTTCTCCTTGTACGCATCCCTCTCCCGGACCAGCCTGGAGATCTCTTGTTTGAGGTGGTCTACTTGCTGAATTAGCTGGGTCTTCTCGCCTTCCAGGACGTGCCTCTGCTGAACCCTCTTGAAGCGGCATGACTGGGCATAGCCTCGGTTTTTGAGGGTCCTCCTTTTCTGCTTTAGCCTGATCACTTCTTCTTTGCTGACCCCGCGTAGCTGCCGATTGAGCTCCCGCACCGACATGGTCACCAGCTGCTCGTCCGAGAACCGGTCGTCCAGATGCATGTGCTGGTGGTTTCCCCCTGAGCTGCCGTTAGATTGAACCCCGGACGCCTGGTGATGACCCCCGGCGTGGTGGTGGTGGTGGTGATGATGAGGAGCTCCGTTCTGGGCTGCAGCAGCCGCAATGACAGCAGACACCACTGCGGCGGCAGAGCCCATCTCTTCTCCGGCCATGGTGCCTCCTGCTCCGGCTGCACCGGCAAACTGCTGCCCTCTAGCATATCCATCGAAGGTCTGAAGCTGGTGAGTGCTGCTGATCAGCGCCTCCACGGCGTCTTCGGGGCTGAAGCCCAAAGCCTCGGGATTCAACTGCTGCTGGTAACCGGTCATCCAGTAGAAATCCTCCAAGTGTGCCTTCTGCTCGCTCCCGGAGCCCGGACTGGGCGCCGAGAAGCTCGGAGAAGGAGGTACCGAACTGCAAGGCGTGCTCATCGGGGTGGAAGACAGGGATCCCCCGGCGATCGGGCGGCTGCACTGGCTGATGCTGCGATCGGGCTCCAGCGGCTCCTTCTTCACTTCAAACTTCATCAGATCGAAGTCATTAACATATTGCATGGCCAGGGGACTGGTGGGCAGGTCGGGGCTGCTCATCGCCAGCTCTGATGCCATCCTCTTGCTGCTGACAGTCCTCCAAAGGGGCTGAAGAGCAGCTGTCAGACTGTTCTGGTTGCAAAGAGTGTGAGCCAGTTTGAATCGCTGTTTATTTTAAAAATGGGCTTTTTCTTTCTGTTTGAAATGCGCAGTTAATGTGAAGGATCAGCCGTCCTTCGCGGAGGCGCTCCCTGCCTCTCTGCGCCCGACAATATCACAGCTTTCACACAGTTAACGGCATTTCACAGCATCGTGTGCGCAACTTCACTGTGCAACCAGATTAAAAAGGAAAAAAACTCAAAACCAAAAGAAAGGCAGTCGTGCAGGGAAGACGCCGCGTGCTGTTGATATTTAAGGGACGGGCAGCGGATGAGTTTAAAAGCATTGCTGAGTTTTATAGGCGCCCTGACGTCAGGCTTTAAATGGGAAAATGACTCGGACTCGTAGCCAATGGGCTCCGCTCGCTCAGAAAACCTATTAACATAAGAATGCCGAAACAAAAAGTTTGATCAAACACGGGGACTGTCACCTGCCTGTCACTGCAAAGGAGCGACATTTTACAGTGACCCTCTGTGCTTAAACACCTCAGATACATATAGGAGGGGTCTTTTTAAATCGCGTATTCGTGTTAAAAATAGTAGTCTATATATGGCATTTCATTGTATTGTCATCAAAAAAGTTAAGGGGATGAATTCATAAAAAAAATAAAAATAAAATACAAAATGTATGACGCTTTTGGCCTATTTCATCCCTTTTCGGATGCATTCACATTTTGTTCATTTTAACACACTGTTCTTTTAGTTCTATTACTTTATTTTGGCCGAGACTTTTAAATAAGACAGTTAAAGGCATTCCAAGTTCATCAATATTTTAAAAATTCGCATCATCCTGTATTTTCACATTATACATATATCGTAACAGTCATCGAACACTGATTTTGTCAGTGTAAAATGATTTCTGTGCTATCCTACAGCAAAGAGAGCGCTGTGAATACTGGCTCGTTTCGGTCCTTTGAAAACTCGAGAGCGCCACCTTTTGGTGGAATATGGAGGGAATAGCAATAGGCTCCATGTTCGATATTAGCCCTCTATTTTCTTGAAAAACAAGATGTTATCGCAAGTAATACATGACAGTAATATAATGTATTTCAAATGAAATAATGCGATTTTCCATTCCTCACACTTCCTGGGTTTCGGGTCTGGATTCCCCTCTGTGATGTCACGCTCTCCCTCCAGTTTCCTCCCACGTGTCGTGTGCGCGTGCTGCGAAGGATTGGCATGTCACGTAGGATGGGGCCCTTACTTTTTCCCAACGCTACCTGTGATAACCCCCCCCCCACACACACACACACACACACACACACTCCAGGGTAAGCAGTTGGAAGCTAAATGTGTGATACTCGTGAAAAACCAATGAATTTTATGACATTATAAACTTGTGTGTAATTAGACAGTAATGAGAGGGCCATTCCTTTACATTACTGTAACTATTCAATGTAAGTTTTTATATGATGCCCACCTAAAAGACCACCCAATACCATTTCCCATTTTTAACGGACCTATTAAGTCAAATGAAATCAAAATTAGATGGTCACCAGTAGAGCAGCATGAAAACCTTGCTAGTCCTTTGGATCTGACTTTATCAGACACAGACCCAACAGATGTGGAGTGAAACGGACCTCTATACCAGCACAGCCCTTACATGGTGCCAATTTAGCTAGCAGTCTGGTCTAAGAAAGCACAGAAAGAGAGTTAGCATTTGATATTAGACACTGGTAGACCTACTGCTAATTGAGGAGCTTCTGAACACTGCTATGTAATCTGTCCTCTTCTGGAAAATCACAATAATGCAATTAGAATAAGAAAATTAATAAAACAAACATGAATTCCCAGCAAAAGGAGTCTCTCAGTGTTTTGAAAATGGTTGCACTGTGGCCTGTCCACGATGAGGAGCGTTGATCGTATAAAATCCCTTTTCAGTTCTCTACCCAGATGTAACTTATTTAACTCCCTAACAGATAAAGAGCATAAACAGCTTCTGCAGCACTTTGTGACACAGAGACCTAAATGGTCTCCTCCTTCTGTACTTTCTGTTCCCGCTGTTGATATGAGTCAACGTGAAGGAACATCTATCAGTACCCATCCTGGAGAACCTCAAAGCAACATCCGCTACATCTCATCAGGGAGGCCCTCTTTCTAGAGCAGTGCTTCCCAATCCGGTCCTTGGGGACTCTAAACAGTCCATGTTTTTACTGGCAAAAATGTAGACTGTCTGTGAGGGAGCAAAAATCTGGACTCTCTGGGGGTTCCCAAGGATTGGATTGGGAAGCACTGTTTTTGAGGACCAGTATCTCCATTTTTGCCTACATTACCATCTTCTTCTTAACCACATAAGACAGTGCTTCCCAATCCGGTCCTTGGGGACCCACAGACTATTTGGCAGGGAGCTGGGAGGGAGCAAAACCACGGACTGACTGCGGGTCCCCAAGGACTGGGCTGGAAAACACTGACATAAGAAGTAGTCTCTGTTTTTTGGTTGTATAACTTAGAGCAATAACAAGACTCTATTGCTGCACAAGATACATCCTTTTTCATTGTTAGAACACTATTACCATTCCGATAAGTTAATCCCAAAAAGGGAAGAGGCAGGACGGGCTGTCTGATGCCTTTCAGGGGACATTTGGGGCCAGACTTGCACAATACAAATATGACCATCCCTTAATGTTCCAGTTCACGGTGACATCATGCCACAATGAAAAGTAATCCCCTATAGACCTGACACGGGTCTTCTAAAAGTGCACCAATCCTCCGCACTTCTCCCAAACATTGACCTCCCCTGCACGCTCAGCTCAGCTGGTTAAATGTCTTGTCCACCAGTTTCTCAGCTCAAGCCACATTAGATTTCACACGGTGGCAAATGCTAAACCATCAATTCTGTTTCTTGCATCACTTCTCCTCATCTTTGTGCCATTTATTTCCCTAATGATTTATAAGTGTGTCCATCATGTGCTGAATTTAAAAAACCATTCAAATGGAGGCCTTGGGGTGGCCTTTTAAACAACTAAACAGTGCCTGAGTGTCTCTTTGCCTCTTTGTCTGTATTATCCTGTTCACCACCATGTCCACGTGTTGGTGAGACGTGTCTACATCAATCTTCATGATGCTTTTGGATGCCTGGAAAAGCCAAACTACTACACAGAGGAAGATCCTGTCCTGTCAGGAAGGAAAACTTCTTTGTGGCGTTTTTATATGATAATCGTACATTTTATTAATGTGAACATATTAATCATTTGATAGATGCTTCTGTTTCCATATTGCTAAGTTACTGGAAGTCGAGGTCTATTTTTTATTCCGTCCCTAAAATTCTAGGGTCTGGCTGTAAACTACATAGGAACAGCGTCCCTGAATGATCCCTCTTCTTTATGAGCCCTGATTCTAACCTTAAAGCTTTCCAGCGAGGGAACGTGAAGGTCACAGGCTGTAGTGGGCTCCCAGAAAGCCTGCTGCGATCACTGTGTTGTGTGTACTGCTTTGCTGCTTGCAGTGTGTGACTCAGTGGGTTCTGCTGCTGTGCCTGTGATGGGAAGGTTGCCAGTTCAAATCCCAGGGTCAGCAGAGTGATGTCACCATTGGGCCCTTGAGCAAGGCCCAACTGCACCAGGGACTGTCTGCCCCTGCGAAAAGATGTGTGTCACTTTCGATAAAAGCATCTGGCAAATAAATTCTAAAAATAGTACAATCTATAGAGAGCCAAATAACTTTTATGAACATACAGCCCGTTGGGTGCAGAGTTTGACATTAACAAAAGTCTTCATTCAATGGCTATTGAAGCATTTTGAAATGCATTTGTCCAACTCAAACTGCATTATTTTCTTTTCCTCTCTAAAGTACAGTTTAAAGTTTCCCTTAGTGTCGCGCTATTTTCTGCATTTGAACTGCCAAGTGCACACGCTTGTTTTGTGCCTGCATCAGCATTCTGGACCATAACAATGTCTGCATGATGTCTGCAATTGGCCAAACTCCAAACGGCCTCGTTTCTGATACCAGAAATTGAATAGTGTCTGTGTTGAAATGAAGTGGTATCAGCCAGACAACTAAATCTGGATTTCCAAAGGGTGGATTTGCACTGAGCCCTCGGGTGAAGGACTCATCGTCATTTCCAGTTTATAATGCACCATTCACTGCTGCTTCGCATGACAACACTTGTCCTTGAAAAACTTTACACCAGTCAAAATACAAAGTGACGTAACGTCAGTCAAAGTGAATGAACACACGTCTGATCAAAACTAATGAGTATCCATGTGCATTCAAAACCATAGTACCAGCTATTACAGGGATTCGGGCTGTCAAAACGTCTCTCGTTAAATAATATAAACATGATGCATAACCATACACATGAACAGAATGTGAAATGCTTTGTGTTTAAATGAATCGAACGATCCTGAGAGCTGCTGTCCAGCAGGTTTTCTACCCTCCCTGGCTTCCTATGAGCCAGACCTGTTCTCAGGTAAATACCAGGGCCAGGTGTGTCAGAGGCAGGCTTATCTAAATAATATTTTCTTAGAACTTTATTTCTAAATAACACTTTCAATTAACTTTGTTCTTTCTATAAGATATAACATCCAGAGCCACAGCCTGCTATCATTTAGAATAGAATAGAATAGAACAGAATAGAATAGAACAGAATAGAAAAGAATAGAATAGAATAGACTAGAATAGGCATAGATACTCTTTCATGACTCTTGACGTGCTGCCACCTAAGTCCTATACAATGTATGGAAATTGCTCATAACAGTAGATACAGTAAATATTGTTCTTTGCTGGACATAATTGGACTATTGCTCTGTTATAAAACTGGCTCCTGCTCAGCTTCTACCTCGGCCCAGGAAGACCCTGAAACGTTGCCTTGTTTATGGAAAACAGCAAATTTACTGGCAAAAAAATATATTTTTATTTTGCCAGTAAATGAAACTTCCTCCATCTGCAGCAGGATGAGCAGCAAGTGTGTTTTAAATAAAAAATTAAATTCCAGCTGTTATTTCACTCAGTACACGGGGAAAATGTCCATAAAATGACAGAAAATTAGATATGGAGCTGTAAGATATGTTAGGTTACTTTTTCATTACTTTGGATTAGCCCATTAAGCTCTAGCTTACTTCCAATTTTATACATATTAAAATACAGACAATCAACACCCACTTAAAAGGTGTTTTTGGAACTTGTTAGACTTATTTTCTAAGTGATGATAAACATGGAAAATTACATGGAGAAACCTTTGAAAGAAATGTCTTTTTAAATATTATGTATAATTACAAGAATATTTCATTTGGTTGAAAATCTCCTCTGCCAAGCAATACAATCTAATGCCACTGAGACCAGGAATTGCT